CTTCAGGCATAAAGTCAATGTGTTTTCTATATATAACCCAGTATTACTAATACAATGAACTTAACTGTAGACTCTGTGGGTGAATGTGACTTGATCATTGGAGATACGAACAATATGATATTCATTTTCAATGTACTGTGTCTCTGGCTCCATTGTGGTGTTCCCAGCCTTCAGTTCATTCCTTAGTGATAATGTGGGGCAATRGGGTGAAGCAGGTCTGGGGATTGTATTTTTGCTGAGCACTAATATAAAATAARCAGCCTATGGAGAAAACAAATTTACCTTGGTTCAGAAAGGCCAAGGACTGTGGATTTGGGGCGGACAGGAATGATGAATGTGAGCATGTATTATTGAAATAAGTCAGAATGGCATGGCATAAGCTTCCGTGGCTTTAGTTACAGGAATTACAATAGAAGTTGCTTTGGATGGAAAATTTTAAGGTGGTGATTGATTTCTTTTTTTTGATGTGGGTCATTTATCACCGTGTRCATTGTGTGAGATACTTTCCTTTTTCAATCATTGAAGGGTGTTTAAGGGTGGTGTTAGGAGGCCCCTTGTTTGATGCCAGTCCCCTAAGTTATCTGATCCAAATGCGTGTGTGCTGTGGCTCAGTAAGAGAAGGAGATGGTGCAAGCATGGTATAAGCTTTAATCACTTCTTGTTATTGCATGTTGCAGTGTATTCACAGAAAGCCAGAAGGCTGGGTTACATGATGTTTTCTATATCCCCAGCCTGCTTATTTCATGAACAAGGTGTGCAGGTGCCCAAACTGCTGTAGTTTGCAGTGATCCCATTGACTGATCTGGTATAGACTTAGTGTGAAGGAGCATGAGCTTGTGGAGAACAGCCATGCAGCTGATCTCTAATGCCAGAGCTAAATCTTGGTGGAGCTGCTGTTAAAACCAGGCGGGAGATGTCTGGAGTAGTGAAATGGAAATCACAGAAGCTGGCAGTGAGGCTGGTGTGACTGAAGGCTGAGTGCAGTGCTGCAGTTACAGCCCTGGTCAGAGCCCTGGTGACCTGCAGGACAGCTGTGAGCACACAAAGGCAGCAGGARAGGTACAGCTGTCCTTAGCACAGTTTTTTTGGCTTTCCCATCACCCTGGGGGCTGGCATGTGCCACGATTACAGCGCTGCCTCTGTCCTTGTGCCTGCTCTGGACTCGCCTGGTCCTGTGGGTGGTTTCACCAGTCACTTCTTGGGGTCAGACTGCATGATCTGCTCTATCTTGCCTGCATGAGTTTTGCTGSGTGTGTTCTTTGCTTCCTGGTACCCGTTTTGATCTTGGGTTAGAAGCTTTTTTTTAAACTAAATACCCTCTTAGTCAATTCTTTGCATCCCTGAGTAAACAGCTGTGTAAGTTGACAGGAGTCAGGCAGTAGCAGYTGGTGTTTCCTGGTGATTCCTGCTGTGTTTTAGCAGGAGGTTGTCCATGTGCTGCTGCACCATCCCATGGCTCACATCCCTGCTCTTGAGCCAGYACCCAACCTGGCCTCAGCACACAGCCACTTTTATAATCCTCACAGCCTTTTCATGTGAYATCAGCATTTTACAGGGACCTGTCCTGTCTTCTGCAACATTTTATGTAACTCTGGATAAAACAGAGTTAGTGTCTGGGAGTGGTGATGGCTGATCTGCTGGAGAACAGGATTGGGAAAGGAAATATGGGCAGTGCAGTGTTTTTATCGCACAGTTACAAGGGCACTGTGAGCATCCCACATKTAGTCAGGTTGTACCTTATATCCCATAAAGGTGGAGCTGGGAGAATGAATCTAGCCATGGGCAGGGGTTTGTTTTGCATAAATGCAGGTAACATCTCTGCTATGCTAATGCTCATTTTGTAGTAGGTCTTTGTAAGGTCACAGCCAATGTCATAGTGTTGAATTTGGGCTGTGTAGGCTGCAGCCACCCTGGATAAAACGCCTTTGTGTTCTTCTTGTTCTCTGGCTGAAAATCTGCATGTTGACAGTTTATTTCCCAGCCCTATTTTTATTTTGGGGTTTTTTTTTTTTTCTCTTCACTGTGGCTGTCAGTTTTGGAGGCTGCTCTGCTGATGCTGGTCTCAGCATTTTGTACTCGGATGCTGTTTTCTTCTGCATGCTCAAGGCTGGTATGATGGATTTRTTCTTTCACCATACCCCCTGCTCCTCATAACCCACTTAGCAAAGGCCATGCTGGTAGCACTGGGTAGCTGTGCTACAGCCAGAAGGAGCAAACTGGGAAATGCTCTGTGGTCTGGCCAGAAGGATGAGGAGAACTGCCAGCTTTTATCAGGAGGGTTGGAGTTTGCTCTGTGTTGTCATCCTCCTCCTTTTGTTTTAAGCTCTTCACCAAAGTGAAGCAAGAAGGAATCAGGGGATGGTGAGACTCTCTTTCCCTACTGTGATGGTTTAACTTCTGTTAAAAGGAAAAAAAATGCTGAAGTCCCACTGAAATAAGATTGGAATGAGAATTGGGATTCTGGTTTTAGTTCCCTGGTKTGTCACTAATTTACTGTATCTGTCATTGTGAATTGCATTTGGAAATGGTGCAGTTTTTTGTATCTTAAATCCAGCTGTCCAAAATCTGACCCTTTTGAGTTCTGGCACCCACATATTTCTAAACACCATCCTGYTTTCTATCCACTTGTATATATGTATGGTGAAAGCCTAAAATTTGGCAGCCAGGTCGAAACGTGGGAGACTTCCAGAGCTAGTTAATACCAGTTGGCCCTGGGAAATCASTTCTGTTGGCTTTCAATCTTCCAGCCTAAATTATTCCATCAGAAATTAATTTTGTTGACTGTACTTGTCTCATTAACAGTTGGCTCTGTACCTCAGTTTACACAGCTGTAATGAGTAATCATGAGTTTCCCATCTAGGTACAGCTCAGAAATGAGCACCACAGACAGAATTTTGCATCTTGGAGAGATTCCTCTGTCTGTCCGAATTGGTGTTCATGGGACCCCAGCATCAGCCTCATTAGATCACACCTTGCAATATAACCAGTGTTGATGATAAATCCTTATCCAAGGATAATCCTAATCCTTTTCCATGGAAGGCTTGGAACTAGAGATGATCTTTAAGGTCCTTTTCAGTCCAAACCATTCCRTGGATCTCTGTCACATGGTGCCTGGTGGATCTGCCCAGGCAATGCCATGCTGTCCGTGTGYCTCATCCCTGGCCTGCCTTGCTCTGAAAATACCAGATTTCTTTCTCCTTGCCTTCCTCAGCTGTTGGCTCTTTCTTTGGTTGGGGAGGACTGCATTGGTGCTAGTATAAAATGATAGCTGCCTTTTTAAGAAGGCTGGATTTTCAGAAAACAAACATTTCAGAAAACATTAAAACAGTCCRGTTTTGGAGATCAGACTTGGACACTTATCAGAGTCAGGTTTGGGAGTTTTTGCTTATGCAAAGCAGCAGAAGTGGGTTGTTTCCATTTTCCATTTTGTTGCCGATGGGGCTGTCTTTGTCCAACTGTGCCCTGGTGTACCCTGGCAGAGGCAAACTGCCCCCGGAGAAGAGCTGCTGTCAGAATACTTTAAAGTCGGTCAGGCTGGCTCCTGTTTCGTGAGGTTTATCAGCAAAGATTTTCAGTGCCTCCAGTGGGAGGCTATTTTTATTCTGTCCAGGGGCTACCTTCTGCTCTGAGGTCTTTATCACAGTTTTTTTGGAATAGAGAAACCTGCCTCTTTTAGGACAACCTTAAATACCTTCATCTTTTGCAGTCTGCAAAACTAGAGAGTTTTTTGTTCTCTAGGTAAAAGTTTTTGGCATTTCTGTGACACGTTCAAGGTTTCTTTTGTTGTTTTTTTCCTGTCTAAGAGGGACAGTRCCATAGACATGAGAATACTCTGTTTTCTCCCTTGAGCAGGGCTGACAGCAAGTGAGGTACTTAGTGGTTCATCCTTCATGCTCTGATCAGTGCTATGACTGCTACAGAAAATCCACATTGTGTTTCACTGCACCATGTAATCAAGGTTGGAAGAGCTCTCAAGAGATGATCTGGTTCATTTTCCTGCCCCATGGCAAGATCAGTCATAYCTGTGTCTTTTCTGACAGATGCTGGTCTGTGCTCTGTTAAAGACCTTTGCAGCCTTTCCAGGCAGCATATTTCAGTGCTTCACAATCCTTACCAGTAAAATCTGGTTTCTCCCCAAGTCATATCTAACCTGAATCATCTCTGCTGCAGTTTAAACTTGTCACTTCTTGTCCTATCCATTTTGAATTGAAAGAACAGGTCATTCCTTTTTGCAGCAATGTTAAATATTTGAAGACTATTCATGTGCTTCTCTCTTCTTAGTGTTAAATACCCACAATTTGTTAAATCATCCCTTCTTCATGGTGGATTTAAATCTTCTGTGTAAACCTTAATTGGCCTGTCTTCTCAAAAATACTCTGTGACGATCCCAGTCATTAACTAATCCACAAACAGTTTAAACCCTTTGATCAGCATTTTATTTATATACTTTAGTAAAAGCATTCGGTGCCAGCCAAACTGCCTGTTTGTACATCACCATTTCTGACTGGATTGATGGCCTGTGCTGGGGTGCAAGCAAAGAATCCACAGGGTTTTCTGCTGCTCCCTAGCTGCACTTCRTTCCAAGGGAAAGGTTTGGTGCCTGGCAGGATGTGAATCTCAGCAGGATTTATGCCTTGGTTCTGTGGGACAGTGCACCGTGAAGGTTGTGCCTTCAAATAGAAAGGGAGCTCAAAGACAGAGCCATGGAATCATGGTGTCTGCAGGCRTCTAAAATCCACACTGATGGGCACAGGAATTCGGAAGTGGACACGTGCTCGGACAGGTGGTAGGCTGTGAAATGTCACTTGGTATTAGACCCTTCTGATGTGGCTGTATTTGAGCAGTCAGGTCATGCTTGGAGGTCAGCTGCTCTACTGTGGTTTGGATGTCCTTGATGGGTATGTTTTCAGCTCCAAGGAAAAGTCAAGGAAATTTACACTTCACACGTGGGGAGAAYGGAAGGCACGGAATGTAATTTTCTCTGTGTTTCTCTGTTGTAGGTGAGTGTTTTAACCACCTTGGAGCGGCGATTCAACCTCCAGAGTGCTGACGTGGGCGTCATTGCCAGCAGCTTCGAGATTGGCAACCTGGCCCTCATCCTCTTCGTGAGCTACTTYGGAGCCCGGGGACACCGGCCACGCTTGATAGGATGTGGAGGGATCGTCATGGCCTTGGGTGCCCTCCTTTCTGCCTTGCCTGAATTTCTGACCCACCAGTACGAGTACGAATCGGGAGAAATCCGCTGGGGTGCTGAAGGGAGGGATGTGTGCGCTGTCAACGGGTCCACCAGCGAYGAGGGACCAGACCCGGACCTTATCTGCAGAAATAGGACTGCTACCAACATGATGTACTTGCTGCTCATCGGGGCACAGGTCCTCCTGGGCATTGGTGCTACCCCTGTCCAGCCCCTGGGAGTTTCCTACATCGATGACCACGTCAGGCGGAAAGATTCCTCCCTGTACATAGGTAAGGCTCTCAGAACTTCTCGCTGAAGGTTTTCATTGTGAGCTGGCATCTGGCTTTTGGTCCCTGTTTGGTGCCAGTGGAAAGGATGCCTCGAGGCCTCTTCTCCATGTGCTGCTGTGCTTGTGGAGGTAACTTGGCATTGGGCTCTACATCCAGCAGGGAAACACAGTGATGTTTGCTTTTATTGTAGCTGTGGCAAAGGTTGACAGCCATTGTGATTATTACTGGATGATTGGTTAGATGCTCGTTCCTTCTTTTGTGTTTGCCCAGATTKCTTTAAATTCTGGTATTGGTGACTTACGGCTGGGTTTTAACTGAAGAATTTTCAAGGGGTGTGTGTCATGATGATGATGATTAATTTATTTATTTGGTTTTTTTTTCCACAAGATACCGTAGTTCTCTTCCTGTTACAAAGCGTGTGTCTGTCTGATCACAGCAGTCTGAGGAGACTGAGAGGACACACATGTCTTGTCACACATTTTAGCAAGGAAGTGCCAGTTACAGAATGCTGTGACCCAGGGTGCTGTGGCAGCACCCCTGATAATGTGATCCCTGTAATGGAATGGGATGTGGAAGCTGGTGAGGTCTATTTTCAGAGACAGTGAGCCTGAAGTAGAACTGATGGTTCTGGTGATCATGTTGCAGAATTCTTTCAGATGGTTAAGTGATGAAATTTGCCTTTGATTACCCAATGAAACATCTCGGTTATTGGGGTAAAGTGCTTATGGGTTTCAACTGTAGTTTCCCCTCCCAGCAGGTTTAAAAAGGATGTTGTTGGTGAAGTTTTCTTTGAAAAAATGTACCAGCTTGGCACATTGCTCTTTCTGCAGGACTTGTCACTAGATGAGTGCTCCAGTGCAGTGAATCAGTGGAATGTGTGCTGCCTTTGATGAGATCCTCTGCACTTGTTGGTATAATCCTGGGAACCAGAAGTGTGCACTTGTCTCATCATYCCCATCTTGACATGACTTTCAACTGAATGGGTGATCCTATTCCTGTTTGGGTTTTTCTCCAAAGACATTTTTMTCACATTTCCAAGCTGGGTGTGGCCACTGACAGCAAAGCTGAGCAGTCCTGCTGAGTTTCCAAGTGCTATTCAGTGTCTTGGGATAATTCAGAAACCTGCTGGAAAGTCACTACATAGCATGGCATTCCTGGAAGTATTGCTGTTTCTCTTAGAGCTGCATCTGTGTATTCAAGACATGCCCCTGCTTTTCTTTAGCTGGCCATAAAATCGTGGTATTTCAGCATTTAGCTTTGTCCTCAGATCATTATTCATCTTCACTTGGTTCTGTAAGTGTTTGTGAGGGATCCAYTGGACAAGGAAGGATGATGTATAAAATACAAGATACTGTACTACCCAAAGGTGAATAATGAGACTGAATTCACTGGAGCAACTGTGCCAACACCATAAATGATGAGCTGGAATTAAGAGTGATTCTAAGATTATCTATTATAAATAACTATATAGAGGAGCAGCAACTTCTTTCAGTCTGTTCCATGRGCATTTTTTAAGCAATGCTTCATGTCTTGAGAACAGGCTGGAGGAGGGTGCATGAGAGGAGGATTGGGAAGAGCGATTCTTCTTGTTCCTGAGCTACATTCATCTTGTATGCTAAAATAACATCTTTAAAGTTGGCAGTGCAACTGTAGCTGGGAAAATACTTCCAAAAAATTATTTCTGCTTACTATATGCTGCTTTATTATTTTTTCCTTCAGAGATAAGTTTCTACCAATGTTCATGACTACATGTGGAGTTCAAAAACAAGCAAAATAAATACCTCACCAAAAAAAAAAAACCACCACAAAACTCCAAGCATTTTTGAGTTGTTTGCTTTCTGGCTTTAGCTATGGAAATCATAGTCTAAATTTCTGCATCTGAATTAGGGGTTGCAGAAGAGTGCCTGTGTATGCACACTCAACCAGCAATGAAGTTTAATTTCTGCCCTGTCGTAGCCTATCCATCACAAGTAGGCTTTCAGATATTGGATGATTAATTCRTCTATCAACTTGCAATCAATTTGGCTGGTGAAAATAAAAGCTAACAGGAAAAAAAAATCTATTCCATGAATGAATATAAATGGAGAAGAAACTAGTGGAAGTGTCATCTTACATTTGTGGATACTTGAGAGGAGGTCAGATTGCTCGGTTTAAATGTTGTTTGAGAATTAGATGCTCAGATTTGTCTTTAACTGATTATTTTTCGTTGATGTCATCAATGCAGTTTTTAGTGGCCTTAGAAGAAAGCTGGCTGAGCAGCTTACCCACTTCATTCTGCTCTGTTTCGCAGAGGAAATAACTGCAGAGTGGATACTGTCACTGTGCTATATTTATATCAGTTTGCTTTCTCATAATAGCACACTCACTCAGTGGGGGCTGTGTGTGACCAGATGAAATGTTTTTGGGTAAGTTCCCTCAGTTGAAATTAGGGGCAAATCTGGCATAGATCGTTCTCCCAGGATAGGAAATAATTAATAACAGTGATAATAGTCTGGCTGAACTTTCTAGAATGACTGTCTGCTGCTGAGAAATGATCAGATTGACCAGTTTGTGCTGTCTTTAGTGTATGGTTTATGTGGAGTCGTGTGTGCTGCACTGCGCTGGGCTGTAGCTGAGGGTTGCAAGCAGTCTCTCAACCTGACAGCTAAGGACTAGTCATTGTTCACCTCTGCAGTAAAAACCCTCTCSTGTCCCAAGGCAGTGAATTAGATAGAAATAACTCTGCACTGAAAGGGTTTTTTTTTCCCCTTCTGAGTTGTATGAGAGTTCAGTGGAGTAATAATATAATATCTAATATAGTGACTTTGCAGTGAAATGACAATACAGGAAGACTCCTCTGGTTATTAAAAAAAAAAGTCCAAACCTCAAGAACACCCTCCCAACCTTCTTCTTTTTGTGCTAATGCTCATGTGTGTGCAGAAGAATGCAGATGTGATACCATATGGAGTTTAAAGTGATGCTTCGGCTTTAATCATTAGTGGAACTAATAGCATCTGTGGAGTGTAATATTTTTTCTGGCTGTGAATCCCATCAGATTTCTCTTTTGGTTTCTCTGCAGTGACAGGCACACAGGAGATTGTGGGCAGTGCACCTCTGTTGTGCATCCTTTGAAGTCAGAGGTTGCTCAGGCTTGTGCTCTGCCAAGGAGGTGGGGATTCATAGAGTTTCTTAATTAGAGAGGCAGAACAGGAATATTCCTCTGCATGGGTTGCCGACTTGCAGTTTCATGTTTCTTGAACTAGTGGCAGATTTTTTTTTGGTGCCTGCAATGTGTTGCTACCAAACTCAAAAAGATTCTGTTGCTGTAGTAACCAGACCTAGGAAAAAGGGCTGTGTTTTAGTAACCCAGGGCAGAATGAATCAAAGAGATGAGTGTGTGAAAGTTCACACCAAAGTATCTTCAAAAGGGAACACATTTGTGCTGTAGCAGGGTTAGAAAGATTGGGGCAGTGTGCTTGCTCTGGCTAATCAYAGAGTCTTAGAATAGTTTGGGTTGGATGGGACCTCTAAGATCATCCAGTTCCTACTCCCTGCTGTGGGCAGGGACACTTGAACAGGCTGCTGGTCAGGTGAAGCCTAATGATGGGGAATAAACTCTCCTCCCATTTCAGCATCTGAGCACCTGCTCRACACAAAGGTTGTAATGCTGGCAATAGAAGCCGAAAGATAGAAAGAATAAAGGAATTTTCGTGGCTGTTCCAAGTTGGGGAAAATGTTCTGGTTTGGTGCTGGTTTGCTTACTTCACTCTGAGTCTGATTTGGTATTTAATACATGAACTTCCATCTAGGGTTTTCCAAACAAGCAKATTAATTTTACCTGTGTGCTTGTTGGCATCTGGCATAAATAGCCCCTTTGAGTGAGGAATTTRTCATTCCTGCAGTCTGCTCCATCTTCACTAGTGTCAAAGGATTGCTTCAATTTGTGGCAGTGTTTATTTTAAAGGAGTAAAAGTTGAAGACTACTTACTACACGCTTCTTTTCTCCACCCACTAATGACTCACTTGGCATTTCCCTCTTTAGTTCTTTTTCTGCTCAGTCTTGCTGAGTTTTCTTGAAATCAATGAGGACTTTGTCATTAGGAGGTTGATCAGAGGCATCGTGGAGCTGGTTCAAAGAGGGGGAAGAAGCCCTGCTCTGACAATGGTTGTATGGATTTGCTRCTCTCAGATAAGCAAGAGCTTGCAAGTGTTTTCTGGTCACTGGGGTGCCTGTGCTGCTCTCAGCAGTGCCCTGTGAGTTCCATTAGAGCCAGGGCAGTGATGTGTTTGGTTAATGTTTTTAGCAGTGCTGAGACACACCTTCTGGCCCTCCTGCTGCATTTCACATTTGCTGATAAAAGCTGTTGCATCTTGTCTAGGACATGGTTACCTAYAGAGCAGAATGAATAGCCTCTGGGAGCCAGTATTTGATCTGGGACAATTAAGGGCTGTATTAAACGGAGGAAGTTGCTATTATTCTGTCTCCTGTTGATGGAGGAAATTGATATTGATGYTGGAAGGAGCACTGCCAGATTGTGAGGCTCATTCAGAAGAATGCTGTGCTGATCTTTAATGCATTTCAGTTTYTCTTTTCAGTTGATGCTGTCTCTGTGTTTGGCATCATGGGCACATATCCCACATGTTCGGGACCCATGACTTGGGTCTCCTTGCTGAATTGCAGGAATGTAAAGCATGGCTTAAAGGAGACCCAGAATGGTCAAGTCTTGAGTTSAGGAGTTTGTGCTGAGGAGTGATGGGTGCTCCTGAGTTAGGGATGTGTGAGGGTGTGTCTGTGCACAGCATCCTCTGGGGCATAGAGCCRTTCTTGGCCTGTTTTGGGCAGGGCAGGGAAATGGAAAAATGGATAACTCACCTTGGATGTGTCTGTTCATCTGCTTTCTTCTGTCTTACCTGGCTTCTCTTTGGCCTTTTCTGTTTGTATTTTGATTTTATCATATGCTTGTTCCAGCTCTTACCCTTGGTGTGAGAGGAGAACTCAGCAGAATGGTGTGTTCTTTCCA